GATAGATAAATACATTCATACATTTAATACATGTACCACACTCACACTTATTTCACAGGTCACATAGTACTGAGTAAATCTCAGAGGTATGAGAGTCAAAAGATGTGTGTTCTGGCTCCAGTACTTTCACTAAGTGCATAATGTAATAGTCACAATCTCTCTAAGGCTTCATTAATGCATATCCTCCTCAGAAGTTTGATCTAAACAATCATTTATTTGGACTTTAACATTTGCTGTGCCCATTATTTATGATTTTATATATAAATAAAATTAATTTATAAACAAAATTTATACAAAATTCGTATATAAACATAAAATTTGTATATAAATAAAAGATAAGCAGCATTCATAAATACCATTTAAATTTGTGTAACTTCTTTGTTTTCCTTTCTTTTTAAGTAGTTTCTACAAGAGACGGCTAGTAAAGGGTATGTATGTGTATATGTATATGTATTATATATACATATATATATACACATATATATACACACACACACATATATACACACACACACACAAATATATATATATATATATATATATAAAACAATGGGAGAGTAATGAAGTCACCACTATTTATCAAAGCTTGGAGAAGATCCAAAAATACTAATTTTCCAAAAACAAACTACTCACATCTCCCACACTCAAAAATCATGAATGGTTCATTAATCTCCAAAAGGTAACAAATGAGTCCTTCTGTTGAGCGTGCAACTTACATTTTCTATTCCCTAACAGACAAAATCTGTTCTATTCAGATTGGTCTACTTATACAATCAGATAATTTTAGAACCTGATCATATCTTGGAGTTCACTGAATCTAACTTTCTCATTTAAAATTACGGAAGGTAAAGCCTGGAGGGCTTCTAGCCTATGGCAACCCCCATGTACCAGAGTCAGGATACGGCTAATAGACCATCATCTTAAACAAAATCATAGGATCATAGTTGCAGAGCTACTAAGGATGTCAGAGACTATCCAGTCAAATAAAAACACTGGGACCTAGAAGTGTTAAATGACTTTTTCAAAGTAGCACATGTAGTAAGCATCAGTCTGGATTTGCACTGTATCCAAAATTCTCTCATACTCGAAGAAGACTTGAGCTTGGCCAGTTCCAAAAGGTATAGGTCCTGAAGAGCCCCCAAAAGTGGAATGTCCTGGAAGAATCCTGAAGGTGGACTCAAAAGGAACACCCACTTGGAGAATCCCAGAAGGGAGTGGCAAAGGCTGGAGTCCTCTCTCCAACTCTATCCCATGCCTCATGAAGGGTAAAGCACTCATCTCCATCAATAAGAAGAGAGTCCCACATCCATAGGCTTGGGTCAGCATCACAGATAGATAGATAGAAATGGATGAAAGAATGGATAAGGTATTTATTAGACACTTACTACATGTTGGACACTTTGCTGAAATCTGAGAATACAAATACAAGAAAACGAGATGATCTCTACTGTTAAGGAACTTATGTTCTAACAGGAAAAGAACAAACATAAAAGGCGGCTGAAAAGAGGGGGGAATAGAGAGCACCTCAAGGAAACGATGCTGACGAGGTAGAGACTCAGGATAGTGAGTTGATCTGGTAGTAAAGTAAATATGGTCAAGGTTCTTCAAGAAATGGCAATGCCAACCAGGGACTCACCAATTGGGAGAGCAGGAGATATGAAATTTGTCTTGATGTATCATAGTTTTATGTTTGTTTTTTCTGAAAAAAAAATTTCTGCCAAGTCCTTTTGTACAAGAAGGGCCTTTATCCTAAAGATTGCTAACTTCCCCCTAATTATTATTATTTGTTCAATGATATGTTTATTATATTAAAAATGGTATAAAATGCACCATCAAAATTAGAACAGTTAACAAAATTATTCACACCCTTTGACCCAGCAATTACATTAGACATGTTGTCAATCCCAGAGAGGTTATTAAGAGTAAGGAAAAAAAATATGCACACAAAAATTTCAAACAAGATTATTTGAGATAACCAAAAAACACTGGGGAAAATGTCCCCAGTAGGGGGACAGCCCTAGAGAGGGGAAAAGCCCGAGAGAGATTGTGCCTATTATATTATGCACTTAGTGAAAGTACTGGAGTCAGAACACACATCTTTTGACTCTAATCCCCAGAAAATGACTAGGGAGTAGATGAAGAATATGGGGTATATATAAATGTAATTAAATAATATTGGATCGTAAGGAATTGTGAATATAAAGAATTCAGAAAAACGAAGGAAGACATATAAAATGATATAAAATGATAAAAAACAGAGCCAAAATAAAACTATACACAATGACTCCAATACTGTAAATAAAGAAAACACTAAAAGGCAATGAAACTCTGCTAACTATAATGGACAACACCGGAATCAAAACTTTTTTTTAAATTTTGTTTATTTATTTTTATTATTATTATTAACAATACTTTGTCTTTTCTATCCAGGAGAGTCAGTGGAACTACAGAGTGAAATATGAATTGTTAAAAGGTTAGACTAACAGGTTTTGGTGATTTATTTAATAAAGAGGTGAAGAGGAGGAAAGTTTCAAAGATGCAATAAAAAGGGAAAAGGACCCACATGTATATACATACTTGTAGTAGCTCTTTTTGTTGTGGCATATGTATGTAATGGAATACTGTTGTTCTAAAGGAAATGATGAGCAAGTGAATTTCAGAAAATCCTGGAAAATTTACATGAACTGATGCTGAGTGAAGTGAGAAGAACCAGGAGAACATTGTACACAGTAACAGTAACATGGTACAATGACCAACTATGATTGAATCTTCTCAGCAATGCAAAAATCTAAGAAAATTCCAAGGGACTCATGATGGAAAATGCTATCCAGAGGCAGAGATAGAACTATGGATGTCCTCACCTTCTCTACAACTTGAGTCATAATGAGTTTTCTAGTGCATGTACTGAGAATTTTAGTGACTTGTCAACAGTGATACAACTATGTGTCAAAAGCATCCAGATCTTCCTGGTTTTAAGGGCGGCTTTCTATCCATTATTTCTAGTTGCCACAGTTGGCATCTTATTTTCACAAATTGATTATAAGGTTCTTCAAGCCAGGGCCTAAGTTTTACTTTTTGGTCCTCCCTCAGTATTTAGGACAGGCTTTGACGTTGGAAAGTGCTTCCCAAAAATGTAAACTGACTAATTATGGAGAGTGATTTTTGTATAACTAATATAGTAATATTAAAGGCTTAAATGTCAGATGCAAAGTTGAAGAGAAGGTACTGATCTACATTGATCTATCTATCTATCAGCCCTCCCTCATTCAAATCAAAGTCAATTGCAAGTCATGTCATTATTTGTCTGATATCATGGCCCTCTTTGTGAAAAAGGACAAACCACAACCTGTGAGTAGTCTGAGCTGCCTGAATGGGGACCCAGCTGACCAGTTCTGGTTGGGCAACTCAGCTCATTCTCCCCTTTCCTTCCCTTCCCTCTCCTTCCCTCCCTTCACCTTTCTTCCCCTCCTCTCCTGTCCTGTCTTCTCCTCTCCCCTTACCTGAGGGTCTTCTGCCCAAAGGAAGGTAAATTTTGATGGCCAAAAGCCACCTAGTTAACTTGGGGTTTCCTGGCTAGATTTCTTTCTGAAAGACCCAGCCTCAATTAAACCCGATTCACTCTGGAGCTCATAGATTGGCCAACAAAAGGTCCCTGCCTAAGCGCCAC